CTCTTTGTTTGCTCACTGTAAACAAACCATAAAATAATTCAAACTACAATATCTTTGTCTCTCTGCAGGTTCATCTGTCTGAGCACATGAATCATGCTCTCACCCTTCACCTTACCTTGCCAGAGCAATATGAATTTAATGGCGTCCAGATGTCTTGGACAGATTTGCCTCCATCACTGTACCTTACACTAACAGTAAAGATAAGGCCTTGATAGTTCTTTTTATTTCTTAAACTCAAAGTTGATTAATCCATAAGGGCAAAGTGTTTCCAAAACATATATTAAGAAAATACATGGATGTTACATTTCAATCAAATGGGCAATCCCAGGAGAATTTTAGGAAGGTTTTGGAGATTGGGGAACTGAGAAAATAATATATATTTATCAATAGAACTTTTGTAGCTTACCTACAAGACATTTCAAATATTTGCCCTCAAAACAAGAATGATTGCCTAGCACATCTTGTTCTGATTCATAAATGTGAGTTTTGGGAGGTGAAGACTCACATGAGATAGGACTCTACCTAGGGTTCCCCAGATGGCAAGGTGCTATCACCTGCAGTAAATTCTAATTCCATAGCAATGGTCATCTCTCCTTAGGGTTTATCCTCCTGGGGTGCACAAAGGTCTCCTCTGGTCTGCCTGAAGGGCTTCTCTAAAGAGAAGATGGAGTGGTCCCCAAAGAGTGAGGCCCTGTCAGGGAGATTCTGCATCCCAAACATGACAGAGATGGTTTACAAGAGTCTCCTGGAAGACATTTTCTTTGTCTTTCAGGAAGATTAAGCTTCATCCTCCCTGTGGCTAAGCATGATCTGGTGCCTAAGTGCTGGACAGTGAGATGTAAACAGAAATGGTGGTCAGCTTCTGAGCACCTTTCCTGAGGGACAGCCATCGATGTCTTTGAGTCCTCTCCTCCTTTGTTTCTTCCCCACTTTATAGACTAGAAGTTGGACTACACTAGAGATGGTGGAGACGGACACTCAAGCTGGATCCTCAAGGACTTTCTGAAACTGCCATCACAGCTCTGCATTTGCTATAAACCTTGATTTCTTTTAGGTAAGAGAGAAATATATTTTTCATCTTTGGAAGCAGTTTCTTGATCCATGTCAGTAGGTGACCAAGTTCTCCCGGGTATCCTTCAGGACCAGCTACTCTTCGTAGCTGTTAATTCATAATGATGAATAACATGTGAGCAACTTCTTAAGATTCTTTTTTCTCCTTATTTCTAAGACAAGTTAAGTGAACTTCATAGAATTCAAAATGGGTTCTGCCCTTTGAAATAGTATAAAGGGAGAGTTAAGCATGATACAAATAATCCAAGTGGATATGCTTAAAAGAGGTCAGAGGAAGCAGGAAAGAGTCCAAGATTCTCTAATTATCCAAAATTTATTATACAAAATTTATAAAGAGAGCAGATGGGAAAGGTAGAGACCCTATTCAGAAAAAATAAGCTCATCAAAGATTGTTGGCATAATGGCAAAACCCCAGTTCATTGCAAGTTTTGCTATCTCTTACACTCAAGGACTTTTGTACCAATTAGAGCAGAAACGGTTCTGTCTCAGTTTTTCTGAGATGTTGACTTGTCATTGAACTCTCAGCCTCAGTTGACACCTCATCCTTGACTGGAAACCTCTCTTATACTTCATTTAGCACAGGGGGTGGGAAGCCACAGCTCATAGACCCAAACATGGTCTAAGGGTTAAGAATGCTATTTATATTCTTAAATGGTTCAAAAAATTAAGAGGAAAATAACATTTTGTGACAAGAAAATTACATGAGACTAACACTTCAATGTCTATACACAAAGTTATATTTGCACATAGCCATGGCTGTTCATTACACATTATGTATGGCTGTTTTCACACTATGATGGCAAAGTTACATAGCTCAACATAGCCTGCGTGGCTCACAGAGACTCAGGTAGTCATTATCTGGCCCTTTACAGAGACAGCTTACCAACCTCAGATCTAGCACTATACGCCATCTTGGTTTTGGAATTCATAAATAAAATCCTAAAATTTGAGAGTAGAAAGAGGATTTAGAAAGTCCCTGTTGACATCTCTGATTCATATCTAGCTAAGGACAGCAGACTTATTTTTTGTGCAGTTATTTCATTCTTAGATATTTATTTAATATCTAAATGTTGTAGTAGATATTTACTTAATTATTTACTTTAAATGTTTAGTTAAGAGGAAATGGTCTGATGTTCACTGGTCTTAATTCTATTGAGCATGACCAAGGATTGCCACATAATAAGTGCTTTAAGATATTTAATAATTTAACACTTACTTAGCGTTTACTATATGACAGGATTGTTCTAAATACTTGACAAGTGACTCATAGAATATACTGAAAGGTCAGAGAACACTTTACAGAGCTAGATACTGAGGTACATAGAGGTTACAAATTTACCAAGTACACATAGCTTGTCGGAGGCAGAGTTGGGATTACAACCCAGTTTGACTTTGGAATCCAGGATTTCTGTTGCTCCATATATTTAAGAGTGCATGAATAAACATTTAATAGCTGCAGTCTTTCAAATATGTGAAGATAACTACCAAATTCCTAGAAAAAAAATACATTTATAGAAATTCCAAAAGCTAATACTTACAGAGTATTATACTCTATATAATACTTAAAGAGAAACACAAGAGAATAAAGTCTTACAGTACTTTCTGCTTTCTCTAACTAATCATTCTAGGTACCCACAGAATGGTAAGGGGTTTGAAAACCACTTAGTATAAAAAGAGATTGAAGCCTTTAGGATATTTAACCTGGAGAAGAGAACTCCTGTTAGGAAAATATGGGAGCAGTTCTAGGCTTTCCATGGCATCCATACAGCCAGAGGATGCAAGGACATTTTTCCCAGAACCTACTTTCAGAATAAAGAGACATACTTTCTAGAAGCTTCCAGGAAAACTGTTTTAGGCAAAGTCCCTCAAAAACCAGATACCAAGATGAGATTTTTATCTGCTGGGCTTTCATGGAGAAAAACAAGTATGGATGCAAACAGGGAGCTGGGAAGGCTGGCAGAGCAGTCAGAAGATGAGGGAATGCTGACGTGGAGTGAAGGAAAGAGGGCGAGAGGTTGGTGGAAGTGCTTGTACTGTGTGGTCTAAGCACAGTCTTAAGGGAATTCTTTAGCCAACATCAGCTGACTTAGAAATTTTGTCTCCCAGGAACCAACCTGTGTTCATATTCCTTCAGATCCATAAACTTGGGGATGACTGCCAGACTGCAGCACCTGGGCCCTTGATCAGTTGTGCCACGGGAATGAATAGGAGGATAAGGTTTCAACAGGAGGAGTCTTGATTTGGTGCTTGCTTCTCTGTATGGCAGGGGTCTTACAGTAAACAGGTTTGATTGGCATTTTGGCAATCAAATCTCTGGGAGTCTCCACGGCTACACTAGAACTTGAGCAGGAGCTAGAACAGGGTGCCAACCTGAAGTAAGCATTCTCAAACTAGGGGTTTCCATCTGGGAGTTCTTACAACTGGGCTTCCCTGCCTAATGGCTTCAACATCACTCAATTCACACACAGCTCAGTTCACATATGGGTCAGGATGGCTTCCGGCATACGAGGACATTAAAGTCTTAGGGGGTTAAGAAATCTTCCTGAGAACACAACAGGTAAGTAGGTGGCTGGTTGATTGCAAAGTTATAGCATCTCCTCCACTTCAAATTCTTACTATGGCCATCTCTCTTCCAGCTTGCTTCAACAAAGCATTTTAGATTTGCTTTTCAGGGCTTCTTCTCTTCTGGGTGAGACTGGGAGAGCTTTGTGTCCTCTTAGGTACTGTATTAATGCATTCCACCAACCCGGCTTGAGATGGCAACTGAAGGCTCTTGAGGCTGGCACAACACCAACTAGAAGGTCAGGTTGTCCTTAATGTCCAATAATTGCAGGTAGCCAAATACAGTACAGTGCTCAGGAATAACAGCACTTGGCTGACCTCATAAGGAAAACTGTTTAATGTATCCATTTTGGTTGCTTAGTTATATGCTGATACACACCAAGATCATGTGAAGCTGGCACTTTAGGGAGCCAACGGAAAGACAGACAATGACCAAAATAACAAGGACGGTGGAGAGAGTTTCAAGGGTCATCTCAGTGACAACTCAGACAAAGTAATCTTTACTGTGGGTTTGCCCTAATTTAAGGAATACAAATTAACAACACAGATAAGTAAAGAAGTGAGTATGTATTGAAAAGAAAAGGCATAATGAATTTACAGAAGGATTCAGTGTAAGAGCCCCTTAAATATCAATTAAGTGCATTTAAAATATAATTCATTATATATAATATCATTTACTATCGTTTTCAAGAGTACAACCATTGGGTTAAGGGCTGTTCACCTATGCTTTGAAAAAAATACAATTCAAATAACTTCCACAAGAAGTTTAATACATTTTCTTATGTCTTTAATACATTTTTTATGTCTATACATTCAAGAATATTCATGAAGGCTTTATTATGTACAAGACACACTACTGAATTCTAAGACACTGACTTGGTAGATCTGGGATGAGGCCAGATTATGCATTCCTAACAAGTTCCCAGACCACACTGGGTAGAAAGGGCTTCTAGAGATTCAACTAGAAAAGGTGAGGCTCTGAGTGTCAGAGCCCAATACCACTGTAGGTTGAGTCAGGGAAGGATGCTGTTCCCATCCAATAGATGGGTCTCTGGCAACAGCACCTGCGCCAGCACAATCACAGCATGCCCTTGGCTTCCGTTGCTGCTGCTGGTCAGTGGGTTTTGCAGTCCCTGAAGCTGGAGTGAATTCCTATTTGCAGGAATCTTTGTAGTCTCAAAGACATGAGTGAGAGCGGATATCTTCTTTCTGCCTCTGTAGTGAGAGGCAGGCTGTGCTTCCCACAATGACTCACCATAGGAAAAATTGATCTTCCTCAAACCTGGAAGGAAGATCAGAACTGGACAGCCGAAATATGATAATGTCTACTATAAAAATTATGTCAACTTATATATATATATATATATATATATATAAAAACTCCACTTATTGATGTGGCTCACCAATACATGATCCACTATACAGAGATAAACTTCCCAGGAACCCATGCAGTCACATGGCTTTAACCTTGGACGTGCCAATCTTCCTCCAACCTTGAATAGAAGGAACAGATATTCTGCATTAACACGTCATGCTAATATGGGCTCTTCCTTATTTGCAGTAAAAAACATTTCACATTCCAATTCTCATTTGCTTTATTTTTCTTTTTACTGAATTTTTTTTCTTGTGTTAGGGAATATATCTCTGGATTTAGTTTATGAGGATCAATCAAATCCCAGAGGCATTCAGTTCATCCTCATGATGGGATTTCCAGGGCTATTTCTCCAATATTAAAAAATAAAGGTAAATCTTATGCTGCAGTTAAGAAGAATGAGAAATGTCAAAGTGTACACCGGTTTGTTCCCCTTTTAGGATCACTATCCCCATCCAAATTGTAAGCTGGCTTTCATTAAAATGTGATATTTATCTTTCCAAAGTGAATTTGTCTTCCTCTGATAAGAAGAGAAAAAATGTCACTATTTGCTGCTAAATAAATAAATATAGGAACAGACACATGATTCTTTTAATGAAAACCATAATTTGAAAACAATATCTTTCTTAAATGTACAGTACACTAATAGAGGCAAAAATTGGCATAAGAATTCAAATAAATTCTGGGCTGGGGGTGTAGCTCAGTGGTAGAACATGTGCTTGACCCAGCAGCACAAAAATAATTAAATAAATTCTATCATGTTCCAAGAAGATATGGACAAAGATGCTTATCAAAATTATAATATAGACTTTTGTTTCCACATACTGTCTCTCATTGCTAGTCAGTGAAGGGCAGGAATCATAAACAGGCATTTTCTATGTAGGAAAGAAGACAGTAGGTTTAGACTGTTGGGTTAGACAGAGAAAAGGGATCCAGGAGACTCAATCACCTGACTGAATTATCCACTATTGAATCAGGTATAAAACAGCACATCAATTAGGGGCCCAATATGTGAAGCAGGCACAGATTCTCAGGGGATAAACAGATTGCCCCAGACCAGGCCTGACACCATAGGACAGGCAGAGAACTTGTGTTCTCTTTTCATGTCTGGACAAACAAAAGACTTAGCTCATCTAATTTTAAAACTAACAATGGGGATCTTCAACATTTACTTCACAAATACAGCAAATTGGAAGTGCATTGGTCTGGAGGCCTAATTTTAATTCTGTTTCTGACACTCTTTCCTCATCTGAGGAATGAGAAGTTTGGAATAAATGACCATAATGATTTTTGTTTCTTGGCATGTCAATCAAAAGACTAAAATGATTTCTGTCTACGACATGCTCTGTTAGAAGGAGAGGGATGGGATTAGGAAAGAACTTTAGAGGTGAGGGAAATGAAAAACTTGAAGAAACACCTAGAGAAGGATGAGAACTGTGGAGAGGTCTTCAGTAGGTAGTTAATAAGAGGAACTCCATCCCCTGGAGCTGTGGACTAAGGAAGAGTCTTTGACTTAATCATTAAGCCCATCTGATTGTTCCCAGCAGCTAATATCTGTTTCTTGAGTAGCTTTATTCTGAATGAGATAGTTACAGCAACTCACCAGGAGGTGAAATGATTTTTTTGGTGACTAGCAGAGATAGCCAGAATACTATCACTCCAGGAGCAAGATATGAATCTAGTTTAATATTGGACTTCATCACTGATCTTGAATGTTCTCTCTTGAGTAAAGGACCCCAAATCAGTGCATTTGGAACCATAAAATGTGATTCAGAACCCAGGAGGAGATATGCATCAAATTCTTATATACTTAAACCGAAGATTAGCCACTGTCACGGAAATATCTTAATGAAGGTGGCTGGCCTTTTGTTTTTCTACAAACAACATGTTGGAAAAGGAAAAGAGAGAGACTGGGTTTAAGAAAATAATTTTTTTTTAAGTTCTCTGGTAATTGAAAATTGGCTGCATTTATTTTCTGGTTTGGGTTTTTCTTTTTTGGCTTGAACTGTGAAAAGGAGCAAGCAGAAAGAAATTTTATTCTGCTTTGACACTGAACACAGTAGCTACACATAACGCTTTTTAAAGTCCTACCATATGCCCATCTATCACACACATAATTTAGCATGTACAAAAACTCTGAGAGTCTGATGGTATAACCCTTGTTTTGGATGGTGATCCTGAATAGGAATTTTGAGGTGTAGGGGAGATCCTCAGAAATTATGAATGAGTTCGGCTAAGGTCTCTTCACTTCAAGTCAGATGTGCTTAGAGCTGCTACTCAGCTTCTGGAATCATCTGGTAGGCAGCTTGGCTGTGAAAGGAGTATATTTGGCTCAACTGCAGATCAAGACACCAACCAGCAACAGCCTAAAAACAGATACTCGCCCAGCCCTAAAGGCATCAATGTGTTTTGGGACTACAACCTTACAATTGTCCCTTCTGGAACAGTGTTACACACCTCACAGCATACTGGTTGAATAAATGAGTGAATGCGCTTGCCTCTTTGTCTGCAAAAATTGACTATGACTGACGATACAGAAGTATTTCCCCAAAGAGTGAATCTTCCTAAACACAAAAACCTGAAATGTTAATATTCTGAATTGGTCTCTTTGTCTTGTTCTCTAGAAACTAATTTCAATGTCATCCTGTAACTTGGGTCTATTCAAGTTCCGAGAACTGCAATATAATAGTAAATGGCCAAGTTGATTGTCTTGAGTTCATTGACCTGTGAAAAGGAGACTTTGGGGGGGGACTTGGGGGGATGAGCCTGTGTACTCTTGCGTCATTTATCAGAATTACCAAAAGAAAAAGTAGGATGTAAGTCAACACTTGTCTGTCAGTAGGTAAACCTTGAATTATTTGCTAAGTAGGAAAGTAGGTTAAAAACAACTCTTTTAAAAAAAAGATTTTATGTGCTGTAGGTCGCTTTATACATTATCAAGTAGCAGCAGACTCTCTTTCTTCTAAATCAAAGTCATCAAAGTATTCAGAGTGGAACAGAACTAGAATTATCAGCATTCACTTTCTCAACTGTAAGATGTTTTGAACCCTAGATAAGAATGGAGCTTAAGATGAAAATGGTACCTACAATAGGTTAAAGATTTTAAATTTGGAAAAAAAAAGACCTAACAAATCTGCAACTATAGACTATCAGAAACAAGTGCCAATCATGGAAGGATAAGGTGAAAACAATACAGCGTGTCACTATAGCAGAGATTGTCATAAAATATGGCAATAGATGGAGTGGCTCTCCAGCCTTGTACCTGTTTCCACAATATTCCACATATACATCATGCTCTTATCCAGAAGATGAAGGACATAATGAGAATCACAGATGCAGAGCTATATTTGTTGGCACAGGAAAATGTCCAAACATATTGCTGACTGGAAAAGCCAGATTCTAGGACATTATGTAGAATTACATCTATATGTGCACATTCATAGAGAGATGTCTCCAAGGATATTCAGCAAAATGTAAATGGAGGGTGGGATTTCAAGTGATTTCTACTGTCTTGTTTGTACTTTTCTGTATAAGCAATTTGATTGTGTGTGTGTGTGTGTGTGTGTGTGTGTGTGTGTGTGTGACTGGAAATTAAACCCAAGGCCCTGCACATGCTAGGCAAGTGCTCTAGTAGAGAGTTATATCCCCATCCCCCACCCCCTTTTTATTTTATTTTTCAGAGAGGGTGTTTCTAACTGGCCTAGCGTAGCCTCAAACTCTTGATTCTCTTGCCCCAGCCTTCTGAGTAGCTGGGAGGACAGCAGTGTGCCACTGTGCCTGGCTACTAATTTGAATTTTTACATTTATATTCAGAATAAAGAAATAAAACTAGAAAGCATTTTTAAAAAACAGAAAGCAATACCATAATCATTAGCAGCAATAATCAGAAATTGGTTTAAAAATGTGAAACCAATTTTTATATCCAAGAGGTGATAATAGTTTTCTTAAAGGCACCTCAATTGGGTGGTCTTTTATTCAATCACTTAAATTTTGACCATTTGCATGGTTTGTATATATACAGGCTCTAAATGGAATCCACCAAGATATTCATATGAAAAGCAAAATCAAAATATACAATTTAGGGCAAACACCTGAAACTTCAGTCTAAATAATATCAACTATTTAGCTGTTTTCTATCATGTAGAAAAAAAAAACCTGTAAATGATGAAGTTTGCACTCGTCACGCAGACATTGTTAGAAGTATCGAGATGCAAGGCTAGAGAGAAGGGGAGGAGGCAGGGGCCTTTGGATCTACACAGGTCTTTTCAGGGACATTTGTATTCAGGAGAAATAACAGTGTCAGTAACACCTCAAACACAAAGGACATTGAAATGTACAGGACACACCAGAAGTAGTGACAAAATTCAAATAGCACTTCATTGTTAGATTATGCCACTCTCAAATATTCAAGAGATACGGAAGTGTTTTTCTTATCCTTCCCCCTCTCGTCTCACAGTCACTCACTCAACATTTCTGACACTGGGTGTGCGGGTGTTTTCCCAACTCACACCAGCTATAGCAGTTCTCCAGCAGATTCTCCAACAGACATCAGCTGGGTGTCCTCCGGTGCAATTCAATTCTGACACTCTTTACCTGGAGACAGCTTTGGATCCCATGGGTCAAGGGTGCAGTGCCACAGACTGCCTCTCTCCCTTCAGATGCCAGTGGCAAGTGTGACTTGTGACCTATGCTTCTGACTGGCTTTACATCAGGGTTCCTAGGAACCCTTCCTGCATTCAATTAATTTGTGAGAGTGACTCACAGATCTTAGGGAAATACATTTATCAGTTTCTTAATAAAGGATATAATAAAGGATGCACTGAACAGCCTGAAGTAAAAATGCACAGGGCAAGGAATGGACAACAGGGCTTGGGTCCTCCATGTCCTCTTCAGGTCACACCCACAGGAACCTCCCTCCACATGCTTAGTTATCAGGAAGTTCCCCGAGCCCAGTACTTAAGGGTATTTATAGAAGGAAGCTTCATTATATGGCAGGATTGATTAAATCAACTGAACATAGGTGATCGATTCAATCTTCAGCCTTTCTCCCTTCCTGAAGGTTGTGGGCAGAAAATTCCAAGCTTCTAATCATGACTTGATTGGTCCTGTAAACAATCCCAATCCTGAAGCTAGCCACCAGCCCTCTGACTAGCATCTAAAAGACACTCTTCCCCAAGGGTTCTAGAAGTTGTGCACCAGGAAATGGACTTAGACCAAGTATAGGTTATTTTATAATAAACCACAGTATCTTAAGAGGTTTAAGGTTGAAATGGTTCTCTTTTCCTCTATGTTAAGAAATTTCACATGTGGGAGTTAACGTTGAAAGATCAGTGGACAAATGGAGAGAACCAGATTTTGAATTAAGCAGGAATGCCTCTCTGTATACTTCTTATTCTCTGCAACGAATGCGTGTTGGCATTAGAAGGCTGAACTGCACAACACATACAGAATATTAATATTCAGTAAACAATCATGATTACAGTCACCAAGTGCCAAGTATCTGCTGTCTGAGTGTTTCCAGCCTCCTTTTAAAATAGTGCAGCTGTTACATTAATGGGCGAGGATCCAGGGTAATAGGAAGGAATAAAAATTGTTGCATTTGATTAGTTCTAGTGGATGTCATCTTCAAAATGCGACTAATTTGATAATACCAGAGCATTTCTGAGGGAAGAAAGAAAATAAGAATAATGTTGTGTAAATAGATACATTATTATTTTCATCTCTTTTGACATTGACATTCTCGAAGCAAAATGACAGCGAGGAAGTGAGAAATAAGTGAAGCAGCCTTTTCTGTCTATGGATAATTGCATGAAGGGCTGACAGTTCTGGGCCAGAGGAGCAAGAGTGGGTCCAATGCAGACTGGCTTTTCCCTTGGAATTGTTATAGCAACTCAAATTCAAAGAATGTTTAATATGTTCCTGGCCCTTTGCTAGCAGCCTCACATAGATTAGAGCATTTAATCTTCACCACCAACCTGCAGAGTTAAGCACTGTTATCACTGTCATTTTACAGATGTGAAAATGGAAGCCCAGGAGTCAGGCAACTTCTCAAGGTCACAGAGCCAGAGGTGGTGCTAGCATCTGTACTCAGGCCTGTCGCTCCCTCAGCTACTATGATCTGTTGTTTCTCAAAGTGGACTGGCTAGACAAAGAGGGCCATGTCATAGGTAGCCCACCAGGTTACTGGTCCTCAAGTTTTAAATCAGCTATTGTGGGAGGAAAAATTTTAAAAAAATTAATTTTAATTTTATGCATTGAAAATAGTTTCCATCAAGCCAAGTTGAGGCCACTTTTGCACTGTGGTCTTTGAAATGCTCTGTCTCTTCTTTTTCCTTTTTTCATGTTCCTCGGTTTGTAAAGCAGGTCTACAGAAGAATTAAATTCATACCTAATTAGGAAGGAAGGAAGGAAGGAAGGAAGGAAGGAAGGAAGGGGCCTAGAAATGCTTAAAACTAAAATTTGGGTTTTGAACCTACTGACATTGCTATGGCTTGGATAACTCTCCCCCAAAGACTCACACAGTAAAGACTTGATCCCCAGGCCATGGTATGTTTTGGAGGCACAGGAACCTTTAAAAACTGGGGACTAGTGTGAGAAAGTTAGGACATAGAGGGAGTGCCTCCCAGCCATGAGGTGAGCAGGTGGCTTTACCAGGGGCCTCCTGCCATGACGTGCTGACATGCCACAGGCCCAAAGCAACAGGAACAACTGGACTGGAACCTCTGAAACTGTGAGCCAGGATAAGCGTTTCCTCCTTTCATTTCTTCTCTCTCTCTCTCTCTCTCTCTCTCTCTCTCTCTCTCTCTTTTGTACTAGTTATTGAACCCAATGGTGCTTAACCATTAAGCCTGCCATTTTTAATATTTTATTTAGAAATGGGGGTCTCACTGAGTTGCTTAGGGCCTCACTAACTTGCTAAGGCTGACTTTGAACTCACAATCCTCCTGCCTCAGCCTCCTGAACCACTGGGATTATAGGCATGGACCCCTATGCCCAGTTTCTCTTTTTATATGTTTGAGAAACTCTCCCTATACAGCATCCACGTCTGAGGGAAAACAAACTCCACCTTAAGCTCCAAGGAAAAATCCTGATTCATTTAATTCTATACCAATCATAGCAATCCTGTCCTTGCTTCCCTCCCCTCCCCCACGATTCACCCTGGGAACTGGACTGAGGCCAATGAGTAGATGGCAATTCTCCAGAAACTGATATAACAACAGGCACGTGCCCTTCGTGGGTCCAAGAAGGCTAAAAGGAGAGATCTTTTCTTCATACTTAGGCATGAGACTTCTACTTGTTCCCAGCTGATAATGGCAGCGGACAGGGATGCTGATGTGGAGACAAACGGATGCAGACAGGCTGAGGCTGGGGACCAGGGAGCTGTGGAGTGGGAGCCCTGTGTGTATTGGGGCTGGGAATTGACCTGCCTCTGAATCTCCTGTGACGTGAGACAATACATTTCCCTGATGTGTAAGCCCGTTAGAGTCAGGTTTTCTGTGCCTTCCTGACACACCATCATCCTAACTGCCTACAATAGTAGAGTGGACACATGTTGCTTGCCTTCCTAAAACCTGTTCCCCTTTCCCACCCAACAACAGTAGCCCTGATTTTTTTTTCAGGGATCCATCCCCTACCATCTTGCCATGTGGCTTCAATGGAGAGTCATTCTTTGGGGTCCACGCGGGTCTGTTCCCTGGACGCCC